AGACATCTGTAGCAAACAGGGCTGGGGTGACTGTTCTTTTATAAGGCATTACCTGTGCATATAACTCTTGCATGATTGTTTTCTTGGGCAACTTTTGTCCTTGAATTCCCCAGAGAGTAGATTAATAGGCGTGTAGTAGGCATGTAGTAGGCAATGACAAGGGATTGTGAAACGAGTGTCAGTTTCCAATGATAATAACTCTTCAGTCCACCCAAAAACCTGCTTAAAAGAAGCAGTCATAGGGACTGGAGAGATGGCTCAGCAGTTAAGAGCAATGGCTATTCTTGCAGAAAGCCCAAGTTCAAATCCCAGCACCTACATAGCAGCTAACAGCCATCCCTAACTCCCAGTTCCAGAGGATCTGACGCCCTTTTCTGTCCTCCATGGGCATTTCATGGCATGGGTGCACTTGCATACATGCATGTAATACATATACATAAAGTAAAAATAAAGCAAAAAAATTTTAAAAAATAGAGAAACAGTCATGGGACCAACTACAGTAAGGCTTGGCTGCATCCGAAATCATGCCTAAGTCATTGGAAAGAGCTTAAATGGAAAAAAAAAAATACTGGTGATACTGAGATGAATTGTAAAGATGTGATTGTAATAGCCTTCATCAGTGTCTAGGTAGACCCAGATTCAGCCGGACCATTTAGCTTTCTGTTGAAAGGAAAAAAGGAAAAGAAAAAAACCTGGCAGGACCTACAAAAAAATACACTCTAAGGGTTAGGAGGGCGAGGGCAGAGCAGGAATCCTGATGTAGAGGTAGAAGCTACCTCCCTCAGACACAGCAGAGCATTAGCTAGTTCTTTGTTAAAATATTTTATTTTTATTTTATGTGTATGAGTGTGTTACCTACATGTGTGTAAATGCACCCATGTTGTGCACTGCCCATGGAGGTCAGAGGAGGGTGTTGGATCCCCTAGAACTGGAGTTACAGATGGTTGTTAGCTGTCATGTGGGTCCTTGGAATCAAACCTGGTCCTCTGCAGGAGCAGCCAGTGCTCTTAACTGCTGAGCCATCTTTCCAGCCCCCAAATTCTTTTTTTTTCTTAGAAAAATACATATATTGGGGGGCAGTGCACCACAGCATACATGTGGAGGTCAGAGGACAGACAGCTTACAAGAGTCTAATCTCTCCTTCCACCACGTGCTTGTCAGCCAGCACCCTGGCCCACTGGGCCATCTCACTAGCCCCAGGCTCATTTTATTGTCCCCAGTGAAACAGAACAAGTTTTCAGATTGTCAAAAGATAACATTTAAAATGAGGTAAAATGAAGACAGGTTGAAAATGAGTATGTGAGGCTGTGCACAAAAACCATGGATTTCTACAGGAAAGAGCTGTTGAGATGAATTGTAAATGGGGACACACTGGGCTCTCCACAGCTGGATGAGGTCAATGAGGCCATTTCCAGACTGGACAGAATTTGCATATCTGCCACCTACATCCCAGGGAGTAGGGAAGACCTCAGAGGATGGTGCAGGACTGGATCTAAGAGAACCCCAGGTGTTGTTCTGCAGGGGGTGTGTCCTTCTCAACTGAAATGCAGGGCTTTGTCCTACTACCAGGACGGCTGAGTAGAGAGAGCCCTGAGCCCAGAGGTGGCCATTTAATTTGTATGCTTTAGAAAAGGTAGAGGCTGCTACTGTGGAAAGGTGCTCACATTCCTGTAAAACATTTATTTAAAGAAAATATCCATGAAAGAAAAGGGCCAAATACATAAGAAAACTCTGCAGTCTCAGAACACAGAGCCTAGGCACTCACTGGGCACCATGCCCCCTGGCTGCACTCGGGAGGCTGAAGCAGGAGGATCACAAGCTGGAGGCATCTGTGTAAGACAGTGAAGCCGCTTGCTACTTCTAGTGTTATGCAACCTCCCCCATTTCATGTCCTCTCTTTCTATTTTTTTAAGGCATATTAAGTCTAATTTGTGTCCCCCAAATGTTCTTCAGTGTGGGTCCATCCCCAGGAGCCTGGTCAACCTACCCAGTATTGCATCCTAAAAGAAAACTGACTCTCCCTCTCCCTCTCCCAGCAGCTATCAATTGCCAGTAGTTCCTCAGCTAGGATTGGGGCTTCTTGCCCACCTCCTTCTCCTCTGTGCTGGGAATTTGTCTAGCCTGAGCTCACACAGGTCTTGTGCATTCTAGTCCTTATTGTAGACCCAAGGGTCACAGCTGGGTAAGGTTGACGATTGCTTTCCTCTCCTCATTTAGCATTCATAGTGAGGCAGGGTCTCTCTATGTAGCTGTGCCTGACCTGCAACTCACTATGTAGCCCGGGCTGGCTTTGACCTCACAAAGACCTGCTTGCCTCTGCCTCCCGAGTGCTGGGATTAAAGGTTTGTACCACCATGCTTAGCATATATATATATATATATATATATATATTTTAAAGAGCAGGAAAATCATATTTTGATATCAGCCAATTAAAGTTTGAAGATGTTAAAAGAAAACAACAAAAAGGACTTTTTATAGGGTAAGATGAGCAGGCAGGAAATAGTCCCCATCAAGAACCCATTACTTAGAGGCAGTTGATTCTTTCCATTAGACCTCTTGTGTCTTTAGAGGAAAATTCTCTTCACACAGGAAAGGGTGCAAAGGCCTTAATTCCACAAGAATAAAACCCTGGTGAGAGCGAATGCTGAGGTTCATGTCAAGGTGATTGGCAAGCGTGCGCTACTGCAGTGATGTGTGGGACAGCAGGGACAGTTGGGCAGGTGACTGGAGGGCCCAGATTCTCTTCTGGCTCTCACAGAGGTGGCTCTTGGTGCTTGTAGTGACCTTTCAATGACAATGTCCAGTGAAAACCTAGAGTGGATTTATGAGCAATTTGTAAGCAGTTAGCAATAGGTATATGGATCAGTGTTTGCTGAAAAGTGCGATTTATGTTGGAATGGTACCATTTTAGGACCGCAGGGTATTTGAATCCTGTTTTTCTGTCAGTGTTTCAGTAAGGCATTCCAACCTGGAAATGCACAGGCTTCACAGCAGAATTCACTCTTGGGGTTTCAGAGGAGAAATCAGAAGGGTCATTAGAAACCCAAGGGGGAGGTCATTGTGCAGAGGGAGCAGTCCTGAGCCTCCTGTTATGCTTGGCAAGTGGAAACGTATCAGGAGGCATTCAGGAGTTGTATACATGGTCCATTCTTTCCTATTCAACAACCAACCAAAAATCTCAATGGTTACTACAGACAGTATGTCACACATGGATATTTGGATAGCTGAGTTTGGGCATCTGAGGCTTAGATGTCCTGTAAGACACTTCCTTCTAGAACCCAGTTTGATCCTTCTAGGGTCCAGATCTGCTGTGTTGGGCATGCCCTTTCCTTGACTGTGTTAAAATAGAAAAATCAATCAATCAATCAAACAAACAAACAAACCCACCCACTTAAGAGAAAACTGGTCAACAAAATAAGAATCTGTGGACTGGGACTGCTCAGTGGTTTAGAGCACTGGCTGCTCTTGCAGAGGACCTGGGTTCGATTCCCAGCACCCATATGGTAGCTGATAACTGTCCTTAACTCCAGTTCAGAGGAATTTGACATTCTCTTCTGACCTCCATTGGCATTGCATGACATGGGTGCAACTTACATACATGCAGGCAATACACACATGAATGTAAATTAAAATAATAAATAAAATATTAACAAAAAGTCACTGACCTAGGTGGGACCTTAACTTTTCAGTTTTACTGGGTCAGTCACTTGGTCACAGGACCACCTCGGAAGGCACGTTCACCTTAAGTCATGTTAAAGAGATAGGCTGAACACCCAGTTCATTAATGAGATGGTGAACGTGTCCTACCCAGAACCCTACCCCTAGCGCAGTGCTTACAGACTGGGCTATAGATATGTAGCTTTCCTGTAAGTCTGCTGGCTGTTTTGAATTCTTTAGAAAAGTGTAGCATCTCCTTTTCTTCCTACCTCTTTCCTAAGCTTGCTTTCCCTAATGCTTTGGGATGTCCCAACATTTTAGGTTTCTTTTTCTCTTCCCCTCCCCACCACATGGCTACTGTGTGCCATGTGTCGACCTCCATGCCAGCTCTAAACCAGTATGGCCTCCTGGCTTTTTTCCTTCTTCCCTCCATTCTCCTGCTCAGGGCAGCTGCTGAGATTTACAGCTTACTTGCCCTGATGATTTTTCTTTAAGCTCTAATAAAATTGTCCTAAAGCTTCAATTTCAGTCCATTTTTATATTCTTTTATGAATGAGACAAAGAACCTTGAAAGGGGACCCTGTTTTGCCCTGTCTAAGCTGGATTGTAGAAGCTCTTGAGGGCTGGTAGAGTTGTACTATGCCATGTCCCTCACCCAAGTCACATGGCCAGGCCCCAAATCAATGAACAGGGATGTGGACTGTGCCTAGTCTGGTAGGAGGTATGAGAACATCACATGGCAGAAGTTGCATATTGGGGCTGGAGAGACGACTCAGCAGTTAAGAGCACTGGCTGCTCTTGCAGAGGACCCAGGTTCGATTCCCAGCACCCACATGGCAGTTAACAACCTTATGTAACTCTAGTTCCAGGGGATCTGACATCCTGTTCTAACCTCCATGGGCATTGCATGTATGTGGAATACTTATATGCATGCAGACAAAACACTCATATACATTGTTTTATTGCCTTTAAATTTTTTTTAAAATTATTTCATTTTAAGTGTATGAATGTTATACCTGCATGTGTGTAAGTGCATTCGTGTCATGCAGTGCCCATGGAGGACAGAAATGGGTGTCGGATCTCCTGCAACTGGAGTTACTTACTGTTGTTAGCCACCATGTGGGTCCTGGGATTCAAACCTGGGCCTTCTCCAATGTGACCAGCGTTCTTAACTGCTGAGCCATTTCTCCAGCCCCTAATTTTTTTTTTTAAATTAAAAAAAAAAAGGAAAAGACCAAAAGCTAGACACATTTCAAAGGAGTCAGTTTATTGGTTTATTTCTTAGAGTGAGTTTGAACAACCTTCACAAAGATCTTTCTGTTTTTAAGTATTTTATTATTTTTATTTTATATGTATGAGTGTATTGCCTATGTATATAAGTGAACACGTGTCATGCAATGTCCACAGAGGTCAGAAGAGAGCATCGGATCCCCTGGAACTGGAGTTACAGATGGTTGTTAGCCGCTATGTGGGTGCTGGGAGCTAAACCTAGGTCCTCTGCATGAACAGCCTCTGTTCTTAACCACTGAGCTATCTCTCCAGCCCCCTCACAATGATATTTTAAAGACAAACCACCCAAGGCTGTGGCTCAGTGTAGTTCCTGGGAATTTGATTTATGTTTATGATCTTCCATGTATGGGGGGGCGTTGGAAAATGGGTGGTAGAGGCTACTATAAAGTTCCCTCAGCTGCTGATGTCCTGGGGCTTTGGTTGATGTGTTACTTAATATCTATAAGCACTGTAATATGATTGCCTAATTTTTTTTACCCTCAGTAATGATATGTCTCAGCAATAGTTACAGTAATTATTATAACCCAGTCAAGGGAGAAAGTAATATCTCTGTTCTGTCCTGGTGGAGACACATCTGTAGCACGGTAGCTGGTGTTGGTGGCTGGAGAAGAAAAGGGAAAGCTCCATTGTGTTTGGTGGCAGGCTGACAGGTTGTTGCTTTGTGTTAAAACACTCAAAGATCATACACAGCAATGTAAATGAGAGCTCTTTGTCCTTATGAAATGCAATTTCAGGTTTTCAGACGTTTGACATGTTGCCTTGAGGAGGAGGGAATTGGGCTTAGGGACTTAAGAGTGGGCAGCAGGTGGGTTTCTGAAGAGGCATATTTGAAGCACTTCATAATGATTCATAGCGCTTACAGATAGGACAGCTCATGGGCTGTGATTACCATGGAATCTTGTCCTGGGACACCTTTACAAGTCCAGCTGATCTTCTCACCCATAATTACATTGCTGAGAGTGAGAACATCCCCCATTTGGGGGTGGGCACTGATTTTTGCCAGGTTTGGAAGTGGGTCAGGGATCCCAGTGAAAATGCTACATGTGACCACAGTGGTTCCCTCTTACCCTTGGATGTTATGTTCTAAGACCCCCAGTGAACACCTGAAACTGTGGGTAGTACCAAGCCCTAGATACATTACATACCCTTCCCTCACATATATGCACAAATTTAATGCCTTTTCCATCTTAACTGTATGCTTGGCACACATGATGGCCATATCTTCACAGTTTGAAGTGACAGCAAAACTATGCACTTTGGTATATCTGCATTACTAGTATTACCACTTGGGTTTTGGGGCCATCATTAAATAAAACAAAAGTTTCTTGAACACAAGTACCACGATACTATAGCAGTTGATTTGGTGTCTAAGTGACCAGTGGGCAAGTAGCATATACAACATGGATACTCTGGACCAAAGGATAGTTCGTTTCTCAGCTAGGATAGAGGGGGATTTCATGAGATTTCATCACATTATTCAGAATAATTTGCAATTTAAAACTTGAGAATTGTTTCTTCCTGGGATTTTTCATTTAGTATTTTCAGATCTTGCTTGACCACTAGCAACTGAACTGACAGATCGAGAACAGTGCTGCTGTCAGGTGTGAACCTGAGGCTATCACTGGCTTTTGGCTCAGCATGTGTGGACAGGACTATAACCAGACCATTTCCCTCTCTCTGTTTAGCATTTGACCATGGAGAGAACTAGATTCCAGCTTGATCACGTGGTCTTTGGGGAGTTCAGTGCCATTCTACACATGTCTAGAAAGGAATCTTCAGACTTCAAAAAAGATTTTCTTTGAAATGAATTGGGGAAAAGAGAAATAATTTCATTCCACTACTTGCTAGAAAATCAAACTCAGTCGTGAGGATGTTGTAGTTTTCTGAGGTGGATCTTTGTGATTGACCACCAATAGGATTCCCTTGAAAAATTATCTCCATTTGGACGCGAGATGACTCTAATAAATGACTGGATTTAACAGAGTTAGTGCATGTGTATTTCAGAGCCCTGACTTATACCTTTTTGGCATCTTTTTCTTTTTTCAAATTTTGGTAGCCAAACATAGAACAGAGGGAAAAAAATATTTTTTCATTTATCCTGGGTTTCCTTGGTAATTTAGAAGACTCTTATTTCAATTTAGACACATCACATGAATTAAGAGGTTTTTTTCCTTTTTTCTTTTTTCTTTTTTTTCCCCCATAAAATTATCTTTCAGGTCCAACACAGGAAAATATAATGACACTATTTGGTGTTACTAACTAGGCATTATGATCTCTACAGCTTCTAATGGTGATGACGTTTATTGACACATGAAAGTATTTTTTAAATGTGGTATGTCAGGAGCTGAAGAGATGGCTCAGTGGTTAAGAGCACTGGTTGCTCATCCACAGGACCCATGTTTGGTTCTCAGCACCCACATGGTCGCTGGCAACCTTCCAACTCCAGTTCCATGGGGGTCTGATACCTTCTTCTGATCTCCATGGGCACTGCAGGCATGTGGTGCACTTGCATATATGCAGGCAGTGCATTCATATACATAAAATAAAAATAAATTAGGGACTGGAGACATGGCTCAGTAGTTAAGAACACTGACTGTTCTTGTGGAAGACCCAGGTTCAAATCCCAGCACCCACATGGCAGGTAACAACCATTGGACACTGAATGACATGAATGCACTTGCATACATGCAGGCATGACACTCATACACATAAAACAAATAGAAATGAATCCAAACAATTGTTTTAAGTCTTTAAAAAAATCTGTAGAATAATGTGTCATTTTCTATCTTAGTTCTTTTTAATTCATTTGTATTGACAAGTAAAAATTGTACTGCGTGCTTCTCAACTGAAAATAAGATTATATCCTGATTAACCTGTTTGGTTGAAAAAGTCTAAGTAAAAAAATACATTGAGTTACTCAACAAACCCATTGTAAAGTTGAAACATTAAGTCAAATCATGGTAAGTCAAGGCCATCTCTATTTATAGCAGACAACATTTCGATATATACGCACACATTGTGAAATGGCCCAGTCAAGCTATTTAACTGTATTTACCCTTGCATACTCAGCAGATGTTTTTAGGAACAAAACTTTCATGCAATAAAAATTTACGTCTGCTGTATTTTGAAACTACATGCAGGGGGCTGGAGAGATGGGTCAGTGGTTAAGAACATTAACTGCCCTTGCAGAGGACCCAGGTTCCATTCCCAGCACCCATAAGGCACTTAACAACCATCCGTAACTCCAGTTCCAGGGGATCCAATGCCCTCTTCTGGCCTTCACATACATTGCACACACATGGTGTGCTTACATACATACATACATGTTCCAGGGGATCCGATGCCCTCTTCTGGCCTCCACATGCATTGCATGCACATGGTACACTTATGTTTATTTATACATGTAGGCAAAGCATTCATACACAGTAATCGTAAATAATAAAATTAAACAGCATCCAAGCAGTATATGGATCACACTGCTTAGTAAGTTTACCATATCTCTCATTTGTAGGTCGCAGACCTGAGCATGGGGGACCTGCTGCTGCACAGCACTGTCATCTGGCTGAACCCACCAGCCTCCCTGGGAAAGTGGAAAAAGGAACCAGAATTGGCAGCTTTTGGTATGTGTCGGGAGAGGGTGTTGAGGATGGGAAACAGCTGGCTTAGTTTTCTAAACAAGAGCCTTTCTTTTCCAAGACACAGTTTATTACAATAAAGCTAATTATAGTTTGCTGGTCCAGCCACCCATTTCTTCCAGATAAATATGAATGATTATAAATTAGACCTTCCAGCTAAAGTATTCAGTGTGGTGGCCACTCAGCTGCATGAGTGGGTGAACACACCAGAAAGGAAGTAATTTTTTTAAATCTTTTTAATAACTTTACCTGTTTGTCCAAGTGAGTATCTTTTCAAAATAATGGACTAACAATAAGTGAAAGAAAAGTAAAATGGAAAACCAAGAGCAAACTGTCTCTGTGTCTGAGACCCTAGATCCTGGATCTTTGATTCTTTTCTGGACTCTGTACCACTTTGTATAATGCCAGCATTTAGGAGGCCACATCTCAGCTCAACTATTATTGAGACTCTGGTGGGTTGATGAGTTGTAAGGGAAATCTCCAGCACATCATTACTCATGCTCATGAACATAGGCATGCTTGTGACTTGTTTTCATTTTTAAAAGATACTTTTATTGATTTTTTGAGAATTTCATACAATGTATTTTGACCAATTCAGATCCCTTCCCCTAATTTCACTCCCACCTTACTAACCCCAACATAATTTCATATCTTCTATTTTTTTTTAAAAAGTCTTTCAAGTCTTAATTTGTGTCTGCAAATGCCCTTGGATGTGGGTCCATCTACAGTGCCTACTCAACCTACCCAGCATCACACTCTTAGAGAAAACTGACTCTCTCTCTCCCAGCAGCTATCACTTGCCAGTAGTTCCTCCAGTAGGGTTGAGGCTTCTTACTCACCCCTACCTCATGCTGGGAATTTGTCTGGCTTGAGTGCATGCTGTCACAGTTGCTGTGAGTTCATATGGGTAACTTCCTAGCTGTCTGGAAAACACTGTTTCTTTGTGTTCATCTACCACCTCTGGCTCTTAAAATATTTCCAGCCCTCTTACACAGTGGTCCTTGAGCCTTGGGAGGCAAGGGTTTTTGATATTAGGAGTCCCATTCAGGGTTAAGCATTCTGCAGTCTCTTACTCTCTGCATGTTGACCAGTTGTGGGTCTCTGTGTTTCCATCTGCTGCAAACAGAAGCTTCTTTGGCGAGAGTTGAGAGATGCATTAGTCTAGGGGTATAACCATAAGTTATTAGGAATTAATTTACTACCATGTCTGTTTAGCAGAATAATGGTAGTAGGTTTTCCCTATAGCCTGTGATCTGTCTAGCCACTGGTTCCTAGGCCTGGTATCAGTGACAGATATGACTCTGTGTTGTGAAGTGGATCTTAAATCCAATCACAAAGTGGTTATGGGCCTGGAGAGGTGGCTTAGCAGTTAAGAGCACTGGCTGTTCTTGAAAAGAACTGGGGTTCAATTCCCAGCACCTACATGGTAGATAACAGCCATCCATAACTCCAGTTCCAGGGAATTTGTTGCCCTTTTCTGGTCTGTGGGCATTGCATGCACATGGTAAACTTATACACGTGCATGAAAAACACTCATACATATAAAATAATTTTCTCAAAAGTGCTCGTTTACTCACATAACATTCATACTACTATTACACCAGTGGGAATCTCTTGAGTATATTGTATTCGTATACTTTTTGAGGGGAAAGAACACAAGTTAACGCCTTGGGGAATGTGCGTACTGAAGGCAGTGTTGTAGCCTGCTGTGCAGCATCTTTCCTCTTGTAGGCTTGTTTCAGAGCGCAAAGCAGTCCGCTGTCAGCCATCTCTGTTTCCCTTCTATATTGTAGTTTGTTTCTGTCTAGTTGGTTTTTGTGGGTTTCTTTCCCCTAGTGTCCCATACAAGATTCAGGGAAGGAAACCTAACTTTTACCATTCCCTTGTCTGACAGTGTTTTTTGCCTTGGGAAGAGGAACAAATGCTTACTGCTTCTTAACTGACTATTCTCCGTGGTGTGAATAAAGGATTCCTGAATGGAACACTCTAGGAATATTCAGATCAGAGTGTTAAATACAAAAATTGTACAAATATCGATTGGACTTTCTACTGAGATCCACTTAGCTTTTGTTAAGGACTTAATAATATTTCCAAAGAGCCATGTAGTTACTGAAGACATTTAATTAAAAATAATAACAATGAAAAGCACATAAGTGTAGAAGAGAACATGGTTCTGGAGCATGGTTATGAGTGTGTACTGTGTACTGCTCTTGCAAAGCCAGAGGACAACTAAATACAGTGTAATGAAGCCCTGGGCAGGGCTGGAGCATGGTTATGAGTGTGTACTGTGTACTGCTCTTGCAAAGCCAGAGGACCTGAGTTTGGTTCCCAGTACCCACATCAGGCATGTCATAACCACCAGTAACTCTAGTGCCTGTAACATCTCGGAGATTTGATGCCTCCACAGACACCTGCACTCGTGTGCACATAACCACACACAGACACACATACAAGCAATTAAAAATAAAGTCTTCCAAGAAAGAAAAGCAGCACCGGGGTATTTTAACACGTTGGTAGGTGTTTTTGTTTGTTGTTTGTTTGTGTTTTGGTTTTGAGACAGGATCTCACTATGTAGACCAGGGTGACCTTGAACTCACAGAGATCTGCTTGCCTCTGCCTCCCATGCTGGGATTACAGGAGTACGCCACCATACCCTGCAAGTTGGTAGCTTTGACAACGGGTGTTTGGGAGGCCGTAACTGGCTTCCTTTTCAGCGTGACCACTGTGTTTCTTAGACTGAGGTTTCTTCGTGGAGAGGGTGACACTTTCTCTGTTTCTTCTACTGTGCCATTTATGGAATGGGACACTAAATAAACCATTTACTTGTTTTGGATACTAGGCTATAGCGTAGCAGTTTTTGAACTCAATGTGTGACTATTTTGTGAATGCTTGGAGTTTTACAGATTTCATATAGTTAAGAACAGATTTCATATAGTTTAGAATAAGAGACTAATTTGAAAGGGAGAAATAAGTGTTGACCAACTTTTCTGTTTGGGGTTACATGGTAAATTAAAGGCTTCAGGGCCAAGAGACCACAGGCTTTGGCAGTTTAGCAAAAAGCAACTTTAGATGGTAAGATAGATGAGATAAAGCATTAGCCAGCCTGTGCCTCACAGACACAGCTGGCGGGCCAGGGTTCAGCCCAAGAACTTATATTTGCTAGTCCATGCTTATAAATCGTTCAAGAAAATGTCTGTTGTGAGGACTGGGATATTAGGTGACCCTTGTTCTGTGGGCCCAAGTGGAACTCTGCAGTCCTTTGCTCCCTGCCTCCTGGGCTGCTTACAGTGGCTGACTCCAGAAGGCCGAGCCCAACACAACAAACTGGGTCTTAATCAAGTGCTGCATACCCCAGCCCGGGGTACCTCATTGATGGTGAACTCATTAAGGTCCTTGGTGTATGGGACAGAAACACTGTAAGGCAAGCTCATTATAACTCCTAATCCTTTCCAGAGTAATAATAGAGAGGGGAAAGAATTAAAATGGGGATTATAAAAAAGGCTGACTATGTTGGTCATGATAAGCGGTTTGGGTAAGTCATAGATGAAGGTCAGTAAAGATGATAGCTTTGACAGTTTTCTCTGTGATTTTAAGTAGCAAGGCAGAACTGACCAAGGGTTAGAAATGCTTTTTGAAGGAAGGAAGAGTTGCTGTGAGGAAAGTGGGTTAATGACCATTGATTAGGCAGCTTTTGGGTGACAGCCTGGTTGCCTTTTTGTTCTTTATTAAGCCTCTAGTCTCAGGACACAGTGCAGCTTTCTTCTGAAATGGACCCTGGCCTGCTGCCACCAGTACCTTGGCTCACAAGATGGGTATTGTGTACTGAATGCTAATGATCACCACCATAAAATATAAAGACAGAAATAGTTGTCTGGGTGTAGAGAAGGTGCTTTAGGCTGACGAGGGATGCCAGGAGTCTGAAGGGTCAAGCTCATGGCCAAAGGGGTTAAGCAATGTCATAGAGTCTACAGGGGCAGGTGGAGATACTCATACTCTGGTAGAGAGAAGCCTGTCCTGTCCTAAGCGGGTTGGAAAATGAGCCCAATACTTTGTGATGGTCTCCAGAGGGCTTGGAGACTGTGCCCCAACGGTTCTCTGAACCTTGTTCCCTCTTTCATTTTGTCTGGCATACCAGTCTTTCTCCCAGTTACCACGTACCTGGACCATTCCTCAGAATCAGAATGAAGGGACAGATCTTAGGGCAGCTATAGCAAAATACTGAAATACAACAGAAGTTAATTTCCCTCCATGTGGAATCTGTGTGACCAAGATCCCAATTTTTTTCATACATGATGCTTTCTAGCTATATCTTTACATGACAGAAAAGGCAATGCATCTCTTCTGAGCCACTTGACCCAATCACTTCCCAGAGCCTCACCTCCTAAAACCATTACAGCAGGGGTTAGTTTCAACATAACAAAATTTGGAAGAACACAGACATTTAGACTAGAACAGAGACAAGGACAGAAGACCAAGGACAGACTGGGATCATCCCTCCGTTCCTTCTGGATGCTAACTCTATGTCTGCTTTGAAGAGAGTCCATCTCTCCATGTTGAACATGCCTCCCATTGCTTAAGGAGTTCTCTGGGGGTTATGCATAACTCTGTCATACCTTCCTACCCTGTGAAAGAATATAAGAATAGCACTTTGTTCACTGCTCCTAGGGGACTTTCTTCATTGGGAAGAATTGAGACTGCATTCTGTTTCGTAAACTAATTTTCATTTCCTTAGGTATAAAAGGTAGATTTTATTTCCTGAATTATAAACATCTGTGTGTATGTGTGTATATGTGTATGTGTGTAGTAGAAAAAGGGAGTGTGGGAGGAGAAGCAGAGAGTGATACTTAACTTACATACATGTAAATCACCTTAAGTAACTATTATTAGAGGTATTTATATTGATACTTAGGCTACTATATTGCCCTCTTTTTTTTTGGTCTTTTTGAGACAGTGTCTTCCTGTAGCCTCAGCTGGCCTGGAACTCACCAGGCTGGCCTCACAGAGATCCGCCTTTCTCTGTCTCTGCTGGGATTAAAGGTGTGCGCGACCACGCCTGGTTTATTATACCTTTTTTTTTTTTTTTAACATCAGCTAAGCTTTAACCTTAAGATAATACAACTAAGTATATTTCCTAAATATTTTTGGTAGCAGGGGTATTTCCATTTATTTAGCCTTGTTCTATGTAGTTTAAGGGTGGAAACTTTATTCCAGCAGGTTTTTGACTTTTAGATGTGGTCAACCGAAAGGTTGGGGAAGTCATTCACCTGGAATCTTATTGTCCTCCTGTAACTGTTGTGTTATGGTCAGAAGCTATCAAAGTTAAAGGGGGAAAGCCCATGTATCTCATGCCTTAACTGCCTCTATTTTTTTATTTCCAGTCTTCAAAACTGCTGTGGTCCTTGTCTATAAAGATGGTTCCAAACAGAAGAAGAAACTTGTAAGACTTCTTACTTCACCCCCATAGAGTCTAAGTGTCTCTCTCTTTCTGCTTTTGAGTTAGGTCTGCATATTTCTACCCCATTGTCAGCAAAAGCCTCTTATGATTTCTTTCGTAAGTGACCCTAAACCCTCTAGAGGAGACTCTGCCGTTCCTTCATCCTTCAGGCAAACTCATGTACAGAGCGTGGGAGTAAAATACATTGAGCAGCCCCAGACCAGAACCTCGAGCACTATTCCCTCTCTCGATTGCCTCCAATCCTGTTTGTGATCCCTCCTCATCTTCCCCATGTCTCTCTAACCCCTGCATTGAATTTGCAAAGTTATTTGCGCACCTTCGTCATGTAGCCTCTCACATCTACCAGTGAAGGGAAGTACACGAGGCCGATGTTTCTTCCGGCTTGCTCTAGAGTTGCAGGGTCAGAATCCGCCACTGGTATGAAGTGCGGGGAGCTGATCCTGGTACATTATGTTGTTCTAAGCTGGCTGCTTCTCCCCTGCAGGTGGGATCTCATAGACTTTCTATCTATGAGGAATGGGACCCTTTCCGGTTTCGACACATGATCCCTACCGAAGCCCTGCAAGTGCGAGCTCTCCCAAGTGCAGGTAAGCACAGACCTGGTGTGCCAGGGTCGCCAGCCTTTTCTCTGCTTTTTGTTTTTTTAAATTTGAAAAAATCTGTTTTCTGTGCATGCCATGTCACACATGTAGAAGTGAGAAGACAAACTGCAGCAGTCTGTTCACTCACCTTGTGGGTCCGTAGGTCATCAGACTTGGTGAAGCACCTTTACTTGTTAAGCATTCTCACCAGTCCTGGGTTCCCAGTTCTTAATGTTTATGTCAGTTCTTTGTTTTTATCTTCACTCTTGGTCTAACCACCTTAACATCTTTTATTTTTATATTTAATAGCTCTATTTTCCCTCAATCCCCATTGCCCTCACACACACACACACACGATACACACTTTGATTAATTCTTTGAGAAATTCATACAATATATATTTATTGTAGTTACCTCCCCTCTCAATCCCCCTGACTCCTCTCAGATCCACACCCCCATCCCACTCCTCCCAACTTCGTGTCCTCTTTTTAATAACCCACTGAGTCTAATTTGTACTGTCCATATACTTTGGGTATAGGGCCATCCACTGGAATGTGGTCGACCTACCAGGGGCCACAGCCTTCAAGAAAACTGATTCACCCTCCCCCTGAAGCCATCAACTGTCAATAGCTCCTCAGCTAGGGATGGAGACTCATGAACCCCTCCCTCTTCCATGCTACAATATTGACTGCATTGCCTCTTTTTAAGCAGCTATTATTATATAGTGAATAAATGAATGAATGAACCAAGTAGGCAAGTTGAGCTGAGTGAGTGGATGCATGTAATATCCTCAAAGTTGTTCTTGGGAATGCGCACACACGCGCGCACACACACACTAATACATTAATAAGGTTGTAATGCCTAATATTTGAGCAATGAGCTTTGTACTTCTGGAAAGAATCCTTGAGACCATTTTACAGAAGTTCATATAAGTCACTCACTTGCATTTTAACTCAGAGCCCCAAAAGACTCTTAAAAATCATGAAGAAGCCATTAGATGCATGTTTCTTTGCCTAAAGCATTACAGATGCTTTGGGATTAGTGTGAGCATGTGGGAAGTAAACTAGCAGTATCTTTGTGATCCAGATTTCCTATCCTGGGCTTAGAGGCCAGGTCTGGACAGGAGAATCAGGCACCCTAGAGGGAGCATCTTCAAAAGTCAATAAAAACCCTTGGCCACACCTATTCCCACACCACTTGGATGCCAGGCATGGCTTTCAGGTAGTATAAAGATGCAGTGGAAGGGACAGGTAGATTTCTACACTTGGTCTTAGCCAAAAATCTGAGAACTGATAGATTTCTAACCCACACTTCTAGCATCTATGAGCCTTACATTCCTACTGTCTGGTTCACGCTGCTCAGCGTCTCCTTGTTCCCACGTATCAAACTTTGTAAGCCATAAAACCGTATCTGATCCTCAGAAAACCAACTACTCCAGTGTCGTGAGGAAAGAAATCTTGCAACGTTGATACATTTTCAGTTATTTTCTCAAATTTCTCTAGATGCATTTTTCTTCAGAGGTATTCCTTGGTAGGAAAACTCAAATGAAGGAGCTGTTATCTACCAGCTACATAAGGGGTGATTGTTTGCCTTAAGAAGCTTCCTCTCTGAGTTTCTAGCACAGTAATTTGCCACAGTATCTTTTTAAGTATTTGTTTCACACACTTGCCTTATGGGTAAATTTGCAGGGGCCTTGAAATTATAGGCCTCTAGCAGCTGCAGTAGTATTTTGAGGTTTAGACACTCAAATGCTGGTGGTATCTTTATTTATACCTTAAAACCTCAGCTTATAACTTATCTAGGTGGTATGTCTACATATCAGGCTTATCAATGTGGAAGTTTATTTCTAGGCAAGCTATAGGCTTCCTAGCCCAGGATTTTGCTATCATTAAGGACTAAGCACAAAGACTTCACATTCTGAAAACAGAGCAGCCTTTGTGATATGATGTTTCATTCAAATCAAATTTAAAGCATTCTAGATAAAAGTGTATTTTAATCAAATTATAAGGACTGGTCAAATGTCACATTATGAGATACATTCCAGGAGGTTTGAGAATTGGTGCTTGGAGTTCCTAGATTTTTATCTTAGTTTGGGGAAGCTTGGCAAACGGATTTGGTTGGGGTTGGATAATGTGGCCACAATGTGGGTCTGTGGCCAGGCTTCTGAACCTCTGGGTAGGAATGGGCCCTCATGGTGGTCAGCTTTGGTGACTGCAGTGAATGGCTTCTTTCACGAACACTTTCCTCAGGACTTAAGAAAGTACTGTCAGCAGTACAGAGCTTCAGACTTCAGAGCCAGTCCTCTGTGTCCATGGCTTCCACATCTATCACTTCAATCAACAGCTGATAGAAGATGATTGAGGAGAAAACGCCGTTCTTACTCAACGTGTATACCTCTTTAAAAGAATAATTATTACCTGGACAGACCAACCATTTACATAGCATACATATACATTGTAGTAGGCATGATTAAGTAATCTAGAGATGATTTAAGCCATGTAGGTTATGTGCAAATAATATGACCGTTTGTATAAAGCACTTGTCCATCCTTGCAACATTTTGGTATTCTAGGGTGTGGGTTTCCTGGAACCAGTTCCTCTCAACCTAGGTATTCTAGGGTGACTATGCTTTAAAACAGAGCATCTCCAAGCCAGCGAGGTAGCTCAGCAGGCAAGGTGCGTGCTGCCGAACCTGATGTCCTGAGTTCTCTCTCAGAGACCCACATGATGGAAGAAGAGAACCGACTCTTACAAGTTGTCCTCTGACCTCCACACACACATGCTCAATAAATAAATAAATAAATGTAAAAAGGTATTTAAAAAATAAATACATAGAGCAGTCCCTTGCCTTCTTAGTACTGGGAAAAGACTGGGGAGAGAAGCCTGGTTAGGTCTCCAGGGCAGCCTACCTACACAGTGGGCTTGGACTCCCTCAACAGACACCAGTGCCTACCTCCTCATATCACTGGCCTGATGAAGGTATATGCACTAGAGTCTTGGGCACTGTTTAATCCAGAAGAGCTTAGCACATGATTGAAAACAGGTCAGGCAAACAGATCACAAGAGTGGAAGGGCTTCTGCTGTCAATATGCACCACAATCCTCTCAGACCATCTAGAGGATTTTCATGGGTGATTGTATTTTATCTTGATAGAATTTTTTTTTTTAAGATTTCTTTGTATGAATGTGTGTTTGGGGCAGGGGTGCCTGCAGAGGCCAGAAGAGGGTGTTCAGGCCCCCTGGAGCTACAGTTTACCTGCAGCTGTGAGCTGCCCAGTGTGGCTACTGGGAACCAAGCTCCGGTCCTCTGTAAAAAGCAGCCAGTGCTCTTAGCCACTGAGCCATCTCTCCAGCCTGTCTTTCATAACATACACTGTCTCTTTAGTCACAGGGTGGGAGTGAAGTAACTTCAGTCTTGGGCTTCTCTGCACTGTTTTGTCATACGCCAAGCATGAAAAATGCATTTTTAAAAAATGCAAATAAATCCATTAAAATACATCCTAACTTGTCATTATTTTAACTTTTCTAGATGCAGAGGCAAATGCTGTGTGTGAAATTGTCCATGTGAAATCGGAGTCAGAAGGGAGGCCAGAGAGGGTCTTCCACCTGTGCTGCAGGTAAGCCAGGCTCAGGGAATCAAGGCCCAGGGTGCAGGGATCTCCTTCAGCGCCCCGTATCCTGCAAACCAGCCTGTGCCTCACATCTGAGACATTAACACTTATCAAATAGCAGTGTTTATGTAAAGCAAAACTAGTTTTACTAGAATATAGATCTAGTTGATTTAATGTCTGTCTAAAAAGAGATTTTTGAGATGTGTTGAACATTCTGGGGAGGGTGTTGCAGTGCCATGGCGGCTTCCTGGCATCTTTGGTGTTTGGGCTGTAATGCAGAGCTGGGAGAAGGGGATGGGGTGAAGAACATTACCAGGATTCTTGGCCTTTTAGAGCTGCTTCACTGTAGGGACCCTGGCCTCTGTTGATCACTAGCAGGTCTTCAGGAGCCGTTGAACTTCAAATGTGGGCTTCTAATTACTTGTTTTTCTTCTCTCTTCCTCTCCTCCTTTCTTCCTCCATCCTTTACTTCCTCCTTGAGAACCTGAGGTTTCCTCCCATAAGTAGCCAAGTCCCTTTCCCACTAGGCAATACACTCATACACGTAAAATAAAAATAGTAAATAAAATATATATTTTTTAAATGGTCTGAACAGATATCGTATTTGGCTTTAACTATGATCCATATTTACATTTGCTTTAATTAATCATAGGCACTCAATAATTTACTCAATAATTATCTAACGCTTCACACAGAGTTGGAATATATTTTACATTGCTTACAATAGAATCAATATTATTATAATCATGATTTTTAAAAAATATTTTTATTTATCATTTTTATTTTATGTGTATGCATGTATTGGCTGCATGTAGGTAAGTGCACGTGTGTCATGCAATGCCCTCGGCAGACGGAGGAGACTGTCAGATCCCCTGGAACTGGAGTTACGGACAGTTGTTAGTTGCCATGAAGGTGCTGGGATTCGAACCCGGGTCTTCTGTAAGAACAGTCAGTGTTTTTAACCGCTGAGCCATCTCTCCAGCCCAATCATGATTTTTAAAAATATTATTGCTCATACAGAACAAAAGTACATTTACCAAAAGTTAATTATTTAGGTAGTCAGCCTGAGTAGAGCCAAGATTGAGAGGATGTTTCTCATAGTATGTTACAGAGTGTGTATTGAACGTTTTCAGTGTTTACATTTCAATGGGTTTAACATCACAATTCAAGTTGCATTTGCCATATCATATCTCTGTGTTGGATTACTGGAATCCACAAAAGGCAGATATCCAGAAAGCTGTCAGGAGAAGTGAAAAATTTTCAAATATCCAGGTGATTAGAAGCCCATCATGCTGATCCATTTGTAATTTTGGTGGTAGAAATCTATGGAAGCCAGCAAACCTATCTCTGTAGTCTCCATATTTGTTGTTTATAAAGAATACTGGGTTATAAAGAAACCTAGTCGGGTCAGTTGTAATCTCAGCACTTGGGAAGCTGAGGCAGGAGGATCTTAAGTTCCAGGTCAGCCTGGGCTACAAAGTGTGGGACCCTGTCGCATCTGTGTGTGTGTGTGTGTGTGTGTGTACATGAATATGTGTATTGCATATATATGCATGTACACATATGGAATTAAATAGGTTATACCTAGGAGATAGTTTTCTTCCATGAGAATTTTCAGTTCTTAAAAATCTTGCAGTAATACTTAATGTGTGAATTATATTATGGGAGGAGTTGACATTTAACAGGAGGAAATGAACAAGCACATTGAGATAGCTATCTGTATGTCCTGTGTAAAGGTGCAACAATCTTGTGGTTTGTTTTTCCTCCGAAACATATTATAGGATATAAGACTGTGCCTTAAGAGTCAAAAGCAGAATTTGCAATCTCCTGGTATAAAATGCCTCCATCCATTATCTGTTCTTTAGCAGGACTCTGTCCCAATGAATCCCAAAGCATGAAGGACAGGAGAATATCCTGTCGTGAGGAGGCAGCTGAGCATAGAAATGGGAGCCACAGCCTTAATCTTTCACCTTTGCCCTCTAGGTGTTTGTTTGGCTGTACCAGATAACATTAGAGGTTCCTTCTGTTGAATACTGTCTCTCTAACATGTGTAAATCTTTTTATAGCTCCCCAGAGAGCCGGAAGGATTTCCTGAAGGCTGTGCATTCAATCTTGCGGGATAAGCACAGAAGACAGCTCCTCAAAACGGAAAGCCTGCCCTCATCCCAGCAATATGTCCCTTTTGGAGGCAAGAGATTATGTGCGCTGAAGGGCGCCAGGCCAGCCATGAGCAGGGCAGGTACTGTCGGGGTTCAGATGTACAAGATCCCCGTCACCCCAACTCTACTGTAGAACTCCAGGGAGCAACAGTTAGGTGTGGCCGTGTGGGGGCTAATGTAGGGTACATTCTTTCCTGATGTGAGGTTCCTTGCCTTGGTCTCCTTCTCAGTGGCTCCTGGGGAATCTGCCCTTTGTTTGCTCTCTCACCTTCCCTCAAACTTCTCTTGCCGCCCTCCTTTTGGCTGGTGAGCTCTTCTCTCACTGGCCAGTGCATCTTCTCTCTGGAGGGGTCCTCAGCCTGCTTGTGGAATGAGAGCCCCTGCTTTGCATGACAGCCAGCTTTGTTTATGAAAAAGCAGTGAGGTAAGTCGCAGCAGTGTCAGAACCCACCATTCTGAGAATGCAGGGACTTCATAGTCAGGCTGCAGATCACGGCCTGTTTTCAGTGAGACTTCATGCTCAGGCTTGTGGACCAGATGACACAGGAGATTTTTTTTTGACCCTCACTTTATGCCTGCAGGCTTAGTTTTAGTCTCTGTTAATTTGGAGAAGCTTTCAGTTACTAAAGGAAAAGAGTTTAATTGGTCCCCAGTAAATATTTTAACTTATCCCATGTCTTATTCCCATGAACAGTAGGGAAGCAACATCATTGCCGCCACGTGCAAATGCCCGTAGAATGCACCCAGGAAGCATGCTGTGTTCTAATACTTGGACACATTTAATGATATCAACACTTCAGTCACTCCTTTCCTAAGATCCAGCCCAGAATTTTGCAGGAAGGAGTCCAATAAAAGAAGGTCCCTTTGCACTTATAAAAGGGTTTCTACCATTCCCAATCACCTTTCTGCCAGTTCTCAACTATGTTGAAGAGGCTTGGGAAGAACTGTGAAGAGCTGAAGACTTTCTCATAGGCGTCACTACCTATCGTGACATGAGCTATTACATTCTTTGGATACCTTGAGTTTAACTGTGTCTTGGGGGAAGCTACCTTGAATCTGTTCTCCAGTCAAGTGATGTTTATCAAAAACTTTGTGAGGGAACACGTCACCACTGTAGGGTTCTCCAAATAATCCAAGAGTCTTGCATGTTTCTTTATGCAGTTTCTCAAGTCCCCCTGTGAAGACAGTTCATTGATCATTTCATGATGAGAGAGAAAATTGTTGAATTGTTTTACCTGTTCCTCTTGCTTAATAAGGAATGCTTAATTGGGGATGCGTATCCCAGCTTACAGAACCTAACCATCAGGGGCTAGGCTTCTGTTGTTAATCAGTTAACCTAAATTCAGAAGCACATTTGCTAAAAACAAACATGTACGCACGTGTGCGCACGCACACACACGTTTTGTTGGTAGGTTATGCAGAATTTTTCTTACTGAGATCTTTCTTGGAGAGAAGATAAAACCAACCTACCACCTACCCTAGACCGCTGTGAATACCAAGAGCAAGCCCTCTTACCACAGCCTGCTGGATTGGCCCGATTGAAAGGGTCTTTTTTTTCTTTCTTTTTTTTTTTTTTTTTCTATTTGATGGCTCATTTTTGACTGAAGAATGTCTTCGTTACTCTGACATTAAAGTAGTTCACTACTGTAGCATCCATTTTCGATGATTTATAAATCATCGCTTCAGTGGAACAGACCAGCACTAGCTTAACATGACCACTGGAGACACTGATGTCAAAGACTGTCTTTCTGAGCCTGGGAGGGACCCACTGGGCATTAAGTGTCCTTTTCTTAAAGGGTAGGCAATCAGGATTCATGCTACATTGTCTTGACTGCCCAGGTGTGTTGTGTGGATGAGAAAAAGACAAATGCCCCACCTCCATCCTTAGTTTCAATACTTTAGCCAGCGACTGAGTTAAATTTTTTCTTATTCTACCATTTTCTTATGAAAATTTTCAGACTCATGGAGCAGCTGATACAGGTCATACCTACCATCTGTGTAGTTAATATCTGGTATTTTCACGGCTACTCATCAGTTCCATTTTCTCGTGACACATTTCAAAGATGCAGACATGAGCACACTTTACATCTAAATATTTGAGCATGGAGATCATGCCTATAGGCCAATATCGAATTGGGATCATTCAAATATGGCAATTAGAGAAAGCCAGGCTTTATTGCAGTGAGGTTAAGTTAAACTGGAAAGAAATTTTTGTTTCCTTTCAATGGGGAAGTCATTTTTCTTTCTAATCCCCCCTCATTTTTGCCTGGAACTTGTTTCTATTTCCCTCTTTGAACAAGAGCGGTGTCCATTTGTTCCACATGTGGAGACGATGGAGGGCTCAGGATGGTGATGGCAGGTGCCCTCTAGCAGCTCTGAAGTTGTGTAACTGCTTTTAAGACCTGACTTCAGGAAAGCAGCTCCTAACTGGTGTTGAGGCGCTTCTCCACTGGACAGCCTGTGTTGCATTTTACCTCAGGGTCTCCAATGCAACAACCACTTTGCTCTTGAGGGAGAAGTGGTATCATTTCCATGAGCGCCATTTGTGTGTGTGTGTGTGTGTGTGTGTGTGTGTGTGTTGCTTTTTGATTGGTGGCATCCTTTGTTTTTAGTCATTCTGTGTGCATGTGCGCATGTGTGCATGCGTGTGTGTGTGTGTGTGTGTGTGTGTGTGTGTAGTATTTCTTCCTTACTTGGTTGCTGATATCATTTGTTGCCTGTTTTTAGTCATCCTGGCTTTCTAGACAGTAGTAGTATAATAAATTCAAAACTATGTTTTTCTTAACTTTCGGTCACTTCCTGTCGCTCTTTGTTCGTCAGTGCCCGAGTGGTATCTGTTATTTATTTCTCATTCCACTCAGGTGCTGGCATTTTAATTGCACTGTAGAACTGGTTGGTCCACAGGATGTAGCTAGGAGGGACCAATGCTCCTGTTTGCTAAGCCTCCCAGCTCCTGTCCAAGAGGGGACAGGAAGTAGATTGGCAGCTCTGTCTCTGACAGCTGCTCTTTCACATGTAATCTTCCAAGAAGAATGTGGTACCCTTTGTCTAGCTGTCAAGTTCAAGTTCCCAGAAAGCAACAGCACAGACCAGGCTCCTTGAAACACTGCTTATGTCTACAGAGACAGCCAAACCCTAGAAGCATCTCACAGGCTTACTAAAGACACAGATTCTAGCTCCGTAGCCCTGGGATAACCTTGGGGGATCTTCTTAGCTCTGTGCCATGGGACATGGTCAGGTTGAGGGCATTCACTAATCCCACAATGAGTGGTCTGCTTGAGGGGGCAGTGGGCAGTCTGTGTTGCCTGTCTCACAGGTGTACAACTTGGAGGAGCTGAGCCACTTTCCCCGTCACCTACAACCTCTCCTGTGCTGTATACCCTCTCCCCTTGCTCTTAGACCAGTCCTTACACCACCATCTTCAGATCGGACATCTGGGCAAGGCAGACACCAGGCTAGACTGGTAAAGTCTAGACTTGAAGTTCCTGGAGGTATTAAGGCACAGAATGCATATCATTTAGCTTTTGTGTTCCTTTTCTTTGCTTGCTAGGTTTTCATCTCATGGTAAAGCATGTAGGGGTTTATTTCTTATATTTTTGTGTGTGTGTGCAGTGTCTGCCCCAAGCAAGTCTCTTGGGAGGAGGAGGCGGCGACTGGCTCGAAACAGGTTTACCATTGATTCCGATGCCATCTCGGCCAGCAGCCCGGAGAAAGAACCCCAGCAGCCCCCTGGTGGCGGGGACACTGACCGATGGGTAGAGGAACAGTTTGATCTTGCTCAGTATGAGGAGCAGGATGACATCAAGGAGACAGACATCCTCAGTGACGATGATGAATTCTGTGAGTCCGTGAAGGGTGCCTCAGTGGACAGAGACCTGCCAGAGCAGCTTCCAGCTGCCTCCATCAGTCAGCAGGAGCGAGGCCGGAGAACCCTTGATAGTCATGCATCCCGCATGACTCAGCTCAAGAAGCAAGCCGCCCTGTCAGGCATCAATGGAGGCCTGGAGAGCCCAAGCGAGGAAGTCATTTGGGTTAGGCGTGAAGACTTTGCCCCCTCCAGGAAACTGAACACTGAGATCTGACTATCTCATACCCTTAGAGAATGTGTGTAGATACAAACGCTGGTCCCACCCTCACTCTGCCCACCTTCCTGTGCTGTCCTTGAGAATGTCCCCTTAGGTCGCACTCTTGCACACAGGTTTTGGCAGCTGACTTGGGTCTGAAGCCATGTAGCCACCCACCTTCCATCATTCTTAACAACGACACCAGAGAGAATTGTTCAGAATCCCAAATAAGCCGAGTCCTATCTTCTGTATATTACCAAGGGCTTTATTTATTTTCTCCCCATCACCAGGGCCTGAAGAATTAGAACCGTGAATCTATAGTATTGGAAAGCAAAATCTGCCCCAGCAGTTGAAGAGAGTACCATATGGTGATTTACAGGATAGCACACACAAAGACCATGCATCTCATCCTCTCTGAATCCAGTCTCCTAGCTGGGGAAAATCGACCTTCAAACACAGAAACGGACAAACCGAAACATCTGTACAGCTTGCAGTGTTCTGACTCCTTCCCTCCTCAGTGTCTGAGAATATCTGTGTATTTTAAGAATGTGTGAGGAAAGGGTGGTCATTTCTGTTCAATGAGCCTTTCATTTTAATTTTTTCTTCTGTTTTAGTCTATGGCTGGTCTTATTCTATGTCAGCGTTTGGAAGCTCTAGTTTTGCAGAGAATTATAAAGATGCCAAACTCTTGAAAAAGAGGTCCAAATTTATCACTTAGAGAGAAAGAGAAAAAAACAACAGCACTATTTTTTTGTATTTTTTTCTGAGATGCAGGGGTACAAATAGATGAGAATTTTACAGTGTTAGGTGTAACTCAGTCTGAAAATGAACCTATAACCTTTTGCAGAGTGAGCAAGGCATGATGACTTTATATTTATACACAAAAAGGCCAACAGGAAACTCATGCTAAGAATAAACTTTTTTTAAAGTGTCTGAATCTATATTTGAGATGGGAGTTTGGTTGGATTACACAACAGGAAATGGAGCAGTGTGTGTGTGTGTGTGTGTGTGTGTGTGTGTGTATTCCACAGGGAAGGGGAGCCTCCTCATGGGGTTGCCATGGCGATCATTGATTTGTTCCCATCAAAATTGCATCTTCATCCATAGATAACCCACCCCTTCCCTGACAGTTCATGACCAAACCTCAGAACCAAACAACCTCTTCAAAAACATCTCTTGCATTTAATAGTTTCTTCACACCAATGAAACAGGGTAAACATACAAATGAACGTAACCTTCTAAACAGATGTCCAACTGGGATGAACAAAACAAGTTATAGCACTTTCATTTTTTTAAAAAAGGTTTATAGCTTTTGGGTCCCCCCCCCTTTCACAATGTCCACTTCCTAAGAAGGATTTAAATAATATGAAAACTTTCTTTTTGGAAAAAAAATATCTATTTGGTGTTTGATACATCAGTAGGTACTTTAAAGACCTGAATTTTATAGTAGCTTTAGGAATTATATTTTTAAGAATCAGTTAGGACTTTATATTTCCAGATAATAGAGAGTTCAGAACATCATGCTCTGTGCCCCGCTTGCTTTCCCGCACTCCCGTCCTCTATCCCTCCCCTTCTCGGGTTTCCAGGGCTTTGAGCTTGATCTTTTGAAAGTTTTATTCTATTAAATTTTTGCTATATCTTCTGGTTTTCTTAAAAAGCTTTAGAATGGTTTCTATACCCTTTGTATCACTGCATCGTTCCATGTCATCTCGGGGTCGACTGTGTCCGGATGGAAAACAGAAGCAGAAGTGTCAAATAGTTACATTGTCTGGTCTCCCTGCAATGTGTCCATTGAAAATACTGGAAAGTTTGGTGCTTAGAGAGGGTGCCATTGTCTCTTGTACATAAGGTCATGATGTGTCTATGTCAAAAGTTCTTATATATTTCTTTTATAAGCTGAAAGAAGGTCTATTTTTATGTTTTTAGGTCTATGAATGGAACGTTGTAAATGCCTGTCCAACAATAAAACTATGGAAAAGTGCCTGGATGACCCTGTGCCTTTTTGGGTAGCAGAGTAAGGGTGATTAACTGTAGGAGGGAGCAAGTCCATAAGAAAAAAATACCTGCCCTTGTCTTTTTAAAATACTGTATTTACTATTTTTATTTTATGTGTATGGATGTATTGCCTGCATGTGTATAAGTGCACCTGTGCCATGCAATGCCCTCAGAGGTCAGAAGAGGGCATCAGATTCCCTGAGACTGGAATTACGGACAGTTGTTAGCTGCTACGTGGGTGCTGGGAATCGAACCTGGGTCTTCTGCAAGAGCAACCACTGCTCTTCACCATGCCGTCTCTCCAGTCCCCCTTGTCTTTTTTAAAAATTACATTTATTTATTATTTTGTCTGTGTATGTGGTGGGCACATGCATGCCATGGTACACCTGTGGAGGCCAGACCTCTGACAATCCACAGGAGTCAGCTGTCTTTCCATCATGTGGGTCCCAAAGACTGCACTCAGTTCTCCAAGCTTGGTGGTGAGCACCTTTAGCTCCTGAGCCATCTTGCCCACAATTGTCTTTTTTCTTCAATATTTTAAAAAGTTTTTAAAAAATTTATTTATTTATTTATTGGTCTTTTTGAGACAGGGTCTCCCTGTAGCCCCAGCTGTCCTGGAACTCACTATGTAGACCAGGCTGACTTTGAACTCACAGAGATCCGCCTGCCTCTGCCTCCCAAGTGCTGGGATTAAAGGCATGCGCCACCTCACCCAACTTAGTTATTTAATTTTTATATGAGTGTTTTGCCTACGTGCATTTAAGTGCACCACATGCATTCAATACCCACGGAGGCCAGAAGGGGGCATCAGATCCCCTGGAATTGGAGTTATGGATGGTTGTGAGCTGCCATATGGATGCTGGGAACCAAACCCAGGTCCTTTGCCAGAGCAGCCAGTGATCTTGACCTCTGAGCCATCTCTCCAGCCATAACAACTGTCTTTTTAAAATTAACTCTCGTCGGCCAGGTGTAGTGGCACATGCCTACCATCTTGGCACTCAAGAGTCAGAGGCAGGAGGGTGATTGCAAGTTTGAAGCAAATCAGGACATCATAGGTTTCCATGTTAGATGGAGCTATGTACTAAGGCCTTATCTCTAAGGAAAATAACATTAAAGTAGCTATTGTGTTTTGGTAAAGCAAGCTTTTATCCCCACTGCACTCCAACCCCCCAAAGTAAAACATCTTGGTCTAATATAGGCAGCACTAATTTGACTTAGTGGGTTATTAAAAAAAATTAAAATCATGGAATTGGGAGGGGATATGTTGGGCAGGATATAGGGGGAGTTGGGAGGTAGATGATCATATTTCATGTATACATGCATGAAATCCTCAAGAATAAAGAAATATTAAAGAGAAACTTGGTCTAGATTTGGAGAATCAAAAATACACATCTGATACACAGAACCCCTGTAGGCTGAAACAGGATGCTCAAGATCGTCACATAAAATGATGTGGTAGTTACTTAAAACCTGCACACACCCTCCCATAAACTTAAGTTTGCTTCTAACCCCCAGCAGAACATACATGCCAAATAGTCACTGGACTGTGTTGTTTAGGGAATGATGACAAAGGCTATATGTTAAATGCAGGGTATTTTTCTCCCCACAAATGGTTGGTGGGCTCCCAAGTTTCTTTGCCTCTCTCCTCCCTTTTCCCAGTGGGAGCAGGTTGAGGCAATCCTGGAGAAGTTTTGGGGTGAAGTGCAGAGCTCAGATAGGCCTGGGTGAGTTTGAAGAGCACTATATGTGTTGCTAGGGGTCTGCTGCCTGGGGCTTTACAGAGTCACAACAATGCTAAATGTAACTTCCGGTTCCCTTTCTCAGAGTCCCAGTCTTAATCCTTCGGAGTCCTTCCATCAGCTTTATCTGGTCAGAGTTATCTGCCAACACAGACACACACACGAGAAGGCTTTATCTTCCCTGCCTTAACCTAGCTTGTGGGTGTCTACTCAAGCAGAGTTCTGTGGACCAGCAGCATCAGCTGCCCCAGGAGCTTGTTAGGCAGAAAACTGGAGGCTGGCACAGAGAAATGCTTGTTACTCCGGCATGAGAGCCTGAGTTTGATGCTCAGCACCCACGAAAAGCTGGGTGCAGGAGCCACATGCCTGCAATATCAGCACTGGAGAGGTGGACATGGTGATTTCTGGTGCTCACGAGCCAGTCAGTCCAATCAAATTAATGAGCCTCAGGTATAGAGAGACAGATCTTGTCTAAAAGAAATCAGTGGAGAGCAGCTGAGAAAGGCATGTAATGTCCACCACTGCCTCTGTCCACGGGGACACACACTTGCATATGCACACATACACATACACATACAGAGAAATGCAGAAGCCTGACCCCTGGTAGGCATACCAAACTCAACTATTTTAACAAAGACTCCAGGTGCTTCATAGGCACGCTTGTGTTTGAAGAACCTTCATTTGATATCCTCCAAATGATCTGATGCTGGACAGGATTTTGGAGCACATACTTTTAAAGTATTTTTAGACAACAGAACTGTTACATAGATGGTACAACACAGAACGATATCCGTACATGCACATGCACATGTCTCAAGAGATGTTTAAAACCGGTTTAACACTCAAGTCATTCCAAATTTGCTGTCTGGTGTGAGATTGACTGGTATGGGATGTTTTCTTGTTCAGTAGCCAAGTCTGTACAGAGAAGTCAGGTATAAAGAACGGAACTACGCTTCCCATGAACTACTTTTTCTGGCTCCTTTCCCACTAGCTTGGTGAAAAACTTCCTTACTTCACCTTTCTCTCCTGGATTATGGTTGGATTATGGGCTTGGGATAGGGTCTTCCCCTGTCTCAGAGTCCATATGTCTGTAGAGGTTACTGTCGTAATGAGCAATGTCCCTGTCCATGGGCGCTTTGAAGCTCGGAGGTGAGCCCCTTAGACCTTCCTTGTACACTACTCTGAAATTTGCACACTTAGGCCATCGCTGCAATCTGGTCCCCAGCATATTGTCTCCTTCCTGCTATATTGCTAAGATGTCTTGCTGAGGTTCTGGCCCCTTCCATCCTTTAGACATCCCCAGCCTGTGGACATACCTTCTCTGTACAGGAGTGGTTATGGGGAGGCAGATGGAGATGTAAGAAAAGAGGTTTTATTGGTTGGTACCCGGGCATGATAGGTAATTGCTGGGTTTCAGCCCAATCCGATCTTGGAAGAAGGACCGTATAATAGTTGTCTTCTAGAAGAGGAGACATTGAGCAGGGTGTGGGGAAAGAGAGGTGAACATACAGGAAGAAGAAGAAATACTCAAAATATTCAGCCACTTCCATATGGCATATCCGAGATAAGAAGTGTCACTTTCCCATAGATTTCCCAGAGTCAGTGTAGCAAGAAAAAGGATACAGGTGCTCTTTAGCCTGATAAATCCATTGTATGCTGAAAACATAGTAAGTCAAAAATATCTGGAGGAGCTGGAGAGATGGCTCAGCAGTTAAGAGCACTTAATGCTTTTGCAGAGGACCTAGGTTTGGTTCTCAGCACCTGTATGGTAGCTAACAACCATCTGTAAATCCAGTTCTAGAGGATCCAGCGCCCTCTTCTGGCCTGCATGGGCACCTGCATGCAGGCATGTACACATATACATAATAAATAAGTCTTAAAAAAAGAAACAAAAAAAACATTGAATATACCTAACCAATCAAACACTCTAATTTAGCACCCTATTGAGGGTCAGTTGCTTTCCCTCATCACCAAATGGCCTTACCCTGTTGCTGTAGTCCATGCTGCTGCCCAGCATCATGAGGTGGCGCAGGACTGCATATTGCTAGGCTGTGACAGATTGAATTCAAAATGTAAGTATGGTTTCTACTAAATGCATATCTGTTTCCCAGCAATGTGAAGTTGAAAACTGGAAAGTCAAACCATCATAATATGAATCCTGAAGTAGGGCTTCTCTGAGCTCAGCCTGTGGATGCTGTAGATAAGTTACTGGCTTCTGTTGATCTACATGGTCCTCATGGCCCCAGAAGCACTGTTTCCCTTGGTTTGCTATCATACCCCCACCCTACCTAGTTATTCTTACTATCCTAATACATGCATTGCAGATCAAGCCTCATTCATCTGCAGTGCAATTTATTCAGTTCTAGTCTACCCTTTCTACAATGTAACCTTCAACCTGTAAATTACATAGCAGCCTTGGTAAGTCTGTCTGCCATGAATATACTTGGTAAGCCTCTGTAGCTCAATGTCATGAGCTACATGGCCGGTTTCTCATGTCACTGCCATCAAACTTCAGACTCAGTATCCTGGTGACTTCTAACTTGTGGGTAACAGACCCTTTGCTGGTATCTAGTGGCTTGGAATTATTTTTTTAAAAACAAGGAATGTGAGATATTCATACACATCTAACATTTCCAGTTCAGTCAGTGAGTTTCAGTTGAGCAAAGCAAACACATCAAAACAATTTTAAGAGTCATAGTTTTAAACAATTGTAGAACATAATCTTTCAGAAGTACCCCCCCCAAGTTTCTTCAACGTGCTTCATACCAAGGTTTTATTATTTACTTTTTCTCATCATTGCTGTGACAAAATGCCTGACAAGAAGCAATTTAAGGAAGGGGGGGGGTTATTCTCGCTTAACAGTTCGAGGGGATCCATTTGATCCTAGTGGGGAAGAGTGATGGCAGGAGGCAAATGCTAGCTGGTCACATCACCTCTGCAGTCAGGAAACAGAGTAAACAGGAAGTAGGGCCAGGTTGTCAAATGCCAAAGCCCGTCCCCAGTGCCCCCCTTCCTCCAGCAAGTCTCCACCTCCTAAAGGCTCCATAACCTTCCCAAACAGCACCATGGTTAATCCTGATTACAGGCTGAATATAGGCATAATAGACTATAATTTGTTTGGTGAAGATATCAAGGCAGGCTAGCATTCAGGGTGTGGCATGGCTACTGTTTACTGTCATCCAGGTCTGTCTATGGTGAAGGAGCAAAATGAGCAGAAGGATATGAAAAATGTAGCTTGATTAGGAAG